GAGTGCCTCCGTCACACCCAGGGAGGCTGCAGCCTCGAGTACTATGCTGGGCAGGCTGGCAAGGCATTCCTGGTTCTTCCGTGGGGCCACTTCTTGTAAAACACAGGACTGACTGGAGAAAAACAGTATTACAAGTGAAGTAATGAGCTGATGAAGATGACTGGACAGTTAATACTAAATAAATACTGAGTAAGTATCAACACCTCAACAAAGGTCTAAATGGGACATCTGTGGCACTGCAGGGAAGAGGATGTGCAGATAGTTCAGTATCTAACTAAACAATTAAAATATAAAATGTGTTGAGCACACAATGCTACAAACGTTTGGCACTTGGGAGTGCTTAGTGTACAGATAAAGCAACTGACCACCTGATGCATGACAGGCAGGTGATAGGAATGCCACTCGCAGAAAACATGAAACAATGAACAAGGATCTAATTAAGCAAGAGTAAAAAGGAACCACAGTTTGGATTCATTTCTGCTGCGCAGTTAGACCCCAGTGTGTACTAACCATCGATACGGTATCGTTCCTACTGTCTACAGTATTGCTGGGATTAAGAAACTAGACTAACACATTCAGCACTGACTGTACCGGCAGGTGAGCGAGGCTGAGAGCGAGTCCGCTCCCACAACAGATCCCACTGTGGCCAGAGGCCGAGAAGCTGCTCCCTGGAGTGTCCGTAGGATCCGTGTCCCTGGAGAGCCAGAGGTCCCTGAAAGCCGAGAGTGCCCAGCTGGGAGAGGACACCAACCTTCAGACCCCAGTGCTTCTGCCTCCTCTCTACCACATCACACCACACCTTCATCCTTCTGTTTTATCGAGCCATGCCTGACAGCACAGTAGGAAGCACAGAAATGCAGGTCTGGAGGGGACTTCAAGATGCCATCGAGGCCAAACCTGCACACCGGGAAAGGATCAAGCTGCCCAAACAGAGCACGCTCAGTAGCTATTAGTCTACTTTAAAAAACGTCAGTGAAAGCAGTTCCATAATCTCTCGTCATAACCTAATGCTGCAGGTCATAAAACAAGAGCACAATTTTCTGGTTTCTTCCTGTATCATTTCAAAGTGCTTCAGAACTTTCTCTCCAGCTGCCAGAAGAAACGTACTGCTAGGTCGTCACTGGTTTTCTCAGCTGTCTCGGAAGCTACTGAAGTTTCCTTGAGATTCCTCTGAAAAGGCAATTTGGATTTTGCGTATTTCCTTAGGACAAAGGCTTGATGGTATCTCGTAGAGCCAGACAACGCCCAGAGGAAAACTCCCTCTCTCACCAGACAATGTCTGTGCTTTACCTCTGCTATTTCCTCCTCAGACCCACACAATGTTCTTAAGTCGTTTCTGGCTGAGGGCCACCAGAAGAAACGCCCAGCCTTAAACAGACGGCTGCCAGCAGGGTCAGGGGAAACGCCCGGCACCGACTCGGGGGCACTAGTGGCTCTTGCAGACTCCTCATCCCCCAGTCCGGATGGCACGTGTTGGTGGAAGAGCCTCTTTCTTCACTTTCCAGCAGCCCACCGCTATTCATGTTCTCTCATAAAGCCGCAGCGCTGTGCTCTGCTGATGATTAATCAGGGGTTAATCAGGGATTCCTGATTAAGCCATTGTCTGAAATTCCCTTTTGCTTTGTTTTGCATCATCAGGATCAAGCTCAGTAGTTTGACACCCCCACCTTCACCCCTCGTTTTGACACAGGTCTGTGCCACAGAGACGCAGCCGTTCTCCAACTGCTGCTGCAGATGCTGCACCCAAAGACGAGACTCTTCACTGGCAGCGGGTTGATCTGAGCAGCTGCAAAACACCCACAGAATTTGCCCACCTAAAAGAGAAAAAGATTGCCATCATTCATTATTCCCCTACTCTTCACAATTCGTTACGAGTTAAGGGCAGTAGATGACTCAGTTTCATTTTTAGTGTCAAACAGATGAGTAAAGAAATGCCAATTTCTTTATTTATTCATCAGCTTACGGATAATTTGCGGAGAAGAATGGTAACTTTCAGAAGAATTTAGTTAGGTATCTCCTTTTCATGCTGCTTTTCCCCTGGGAGTTTGAAAGGACTCTGAAGACAGTACATATAAAAATCCTTGAGGTCTTCCTACCATCTGCTCAAAACCACGACGTTGCAGTGACCGGTGCAAGAGCCCATCTAGGCACTTACTTAGACACAAAAAGATCAACGTCCCAATGACCAAAATTTAAAAATATTCCTGTCCCACTTCAGCCCACTGAACGGGATCCTCCCGCACCCCCGCCTGGGCCACAGATCCAAAGCCCCTTCTGAGCCGAGGTTTGCTATGCCTCGTCCACGTCCTAGTGCCGAGTATTTTCAGCCGAGGAGGCTTCCTGAGCTGCACGTTTTCACATGTATTCAGCACACAGAATGGATTTTTCCTCCTTGAACTTGTCCAGTCTCTCCACGAGCCCCTGTAAACTTTCAAGACCCCCAATCCCTCGGCGAGGCGTTCCACTACGGCTTACTCTTGCACGAAGAACGAGCTGCTTTTTGTTTTGAAGCCGTTCCTTGTCAGCCCTCATTTCTAGTGCTGCAAGAGTCAATCGCCATCCACACAAGTTAACTCTTCATGGCTACAAATTACTTTGCTTTCAGCCACAAAAGTTCACCCTGCACTCGGCCCCGTAACGAGGCAGGTGATGACTAACAGAAAACAAAATGCCTTTTAGCATAAGAGCTCTAAAAAGCCATTATTCTCCCTTTAATCTTCAAACAATTTATTAATGATGTGACATGCAGTAAACAGGGTACCATATGCTGTTGGTTTAATATAACTTTATTTGCATCACAATAATGTTAAATTATACTGCTGCCTTTACATAAAACTAAGTAAAGATAAATTTACTGCCTTTTCTGAGGTACCCTGCTGCGTGTAATACATGTCAGAGGCCATGATCACTGAAAATTCAAGTAATTTAGGTCAAATTCCAGTAATACTGCTAACAGGTTCTGAAAAAGACCTTGAACGCTTCTCCAGACGCAGCGGTATCCACCCAGAGGGTGCCCCGTTTTCTGGAAGTCAAGCAGCACGGGTACATCTAGAGACCCCTCGTCAGTGTGCGCCCTCACGGCTGGTTGGTTTTCGTCCCTCACAGCCTGCGACCGGCAAGGAATTCCCACCAAAACCCTGTCGTGTTTAAACCTTCCCTCACCCACAGAAACTGACTGCGGCAGGTACGCTACAAACCCAAGGTCTTCATATCAATAAATAATGCACTTCTGAGAATTTCTCCCTGCTGCCCAGATAAGGAACCAACACAGGAAAGATCTTGCCCCGATCCGTGCGTAGGCCGGACAGAGCTCAGCACCTCCCGAGTTGCAGCCCAAGACGCCGGTCGGCGAGGAGGCACCAGCGACGCTGTTCTGTGGGGTGTCTGAGCCAGTGATGCACAATGGACCGTTAAACCACTGGTGGTGGTGGTCACCCTGGGCTGTGTTGTACCTCCCTACTTAATCATCCGGGCCGCCCTGTATCGGCTCTCAGAAGAGGCCCTCCTCAAGCCCTACGCCTCGCCTGCCTATGCCATCAGCTTGATCTACATCCTTCCCTCTTAAAATTCAGGACCCGATTTGGCCGCCACGCTGCTCCCGGGACAGGAGTCCTCCCTCCAGGTTCTGCACGGCCGCCCGTCCCCTGATCTAATCTACCGTGCTTGGGACAAGAACCCACGGGGATCAAGGTAAGGTGACCTGGGGGTGCTGGTCGACAGCCGGCTGAACACGAGCCGGCAGTGTGCCCAGGTTGCCAAGAAGGG